GCTGTTTACGACATTTTCTCATGGAGCAGCATTCAATTTACGGAAAGCCCCATAGCAGCAAAACTAACGGAAAAACAAGAAGATACGCCCTTAGGGCCTTTTGTAAATTGATTCTTGCTCCGTGAGAAAATGTCGTAAACAGCTCGGAGACGTCTCAATTTCTTCAGAAATGTTTGCTCTACACGATGGACTTATTTGCAAAGAATTTCTGGATTGAACTCTGGGACTTGGTTTTCTGAGATTTAAGTTCTCCAGAGACCCTGATTTCAGGAGTTTTGATGGAGCCTTTGTATACACCACCTGAGATCGGAAATTCTTTCAGCTATTCAAATCTTTTTTCAAATTTATTCTAGCTATTATTAAAATCATTATTTTAACACGGCGCACGAACTTTTTCCTCAACCTAATAACTGACTAAAATTCAGTTTAATGCTACATTTTCTGTATATATAAGTATCAGTAGATTGTAACGGTATTTTCTCTATCTATAAAAATTGCATTTTCGACAGGGAAAATAAAAAGCCTCATCATTATTTCATGTTTCACTTTTACTAAACTATACTGGAGAAATTTTCATATAACGTCTATGTCTTCGGAGTAAAAAACTCATTTTAATTCACTACAACTCATGATACATTGGTCTTGTTATCCTTTGCAGTTTTAGATTGTACTAATATGATCTCTATTATTGTTACTCGATCAATTTTCATTCCATTCAAAAGCCATACCTTGATAATGCATCAGCTTCATAAAATAACATCCTCATTGATTAATAATAATCAAAATAAATCAATTAATAATAAACTATTTATCAAAAATAAGACACGGAACGCATGGAAAAGAAATTGTAAGTTCTCATGGTTGTTTTTCTTTTGATATAATTCGTTACTCTTAAACTTTTAGTACCATCCATAATAATTACCACAGTTCTCATATTTATGATCAAACTGCCATATTATATTGGAATATATCGAAAAAAAACGAATGAAATAACTGGAGAACAAGTGAAATAACTGAGTTAAATACAGGACTTGAATGTGACAAAAGTCATTTGTATTGGTATATTTGAACTAAGCTCTTTGTATATATATGCGAATATTATTTGTACAGAAAATTGTTCTCTATAAATATTTGTTGTTGTTTTTGAAAATAAAGTATTATTAAAAGTCCCAGATTATCCTTTTTTATTATGACAAACAGAAAAATGTTGTTACTCTGCTAAATTGTATCATAACTTTTAATTAATATATATCATTCATTGTTTCGTTCTCGAAATCTGTTCAGGTGCGTATTTTTATTTTTCTCTTGGCAACGCAAGTACGTACCTTCCGTTTTTATTAATGTTATTGTATTGTGTAAGAATGATTAATCTAATTTTTATTCAATTTATTCTTTTAAAAAGTGCTACAATTACAGTTTATTGTTTACAAAAACAATATTTAAAAGATATTAATTCTCACCATATGTATCGAATTCGTTTGCGTATTGATAGTACACGAGAAGATTTTTTAGAATGGAATAAAAAATTTGATAAATTTTTACAAATATCGTTTAAACAACCATATTCGTTTGGTTCACCGTTGAAATATTGTCCCGAAGTTTTAGTATTTATTATACCGAATCGGACACAAATAAGTGGTGTATTAATGGCTCAATATCGTGATAAGAACAAAAATTTGGATGATAATTTTTATATATGTTTTCTCTCTGTATTGCCAGAATACCGAAAATTTGGCTTAGCTTCGACATTGTTAAATGCTATTATTCAAGAAGCCTATGATACTGATGTTCAAAAAGTTTCGTTAAATGTGAATATTAAAAATGGTGAAGCATTGCGTTTATATAGAAAATGTGGATTTCTTTGTTCAAAATATGAATCAAATTTTTATCCACCATCACAGTATGATGAGTCGGATGCATATTATATGACGTTGTTAACGAAATATATTAGAGTACCATCTTTAGTTTGTAAAACAACGCAAGCACTCGTTATACCAACCGAAATGAAAACAGCTTCAACTGCTGTTTGTGTAAAAAGAACAGTGGTGACGATCAACAAATTCCATTAGTTTTATTTCAAAGAATTTTGTTATTTCTAAGTTATTCAAGATAATGTACATTTTTGAGGGGTAATAGTAAAACATGAAAATACCCACAGACATCTACAGACGCCAACAGACAGCACACAGTCGCAGACAGGTACACGCACAGTAAAAAATATTGTGTCGCAAAAGAATGTGTCGCATAATTGTGTTATCGTTACTAAGAACTTTCCGACACAGTCCTTGAGGTCATTTCAGGATCTGCTCTCTTCAAAAAATTGCTAAATTTTATGTTTTACTATTTTCAACAGTCTTCATTAGTATTTTTCTCGGCTTCTTTTCAATTTTGATGTGCTATAGGTAGCGCTAATACGTAAAAGATAAGAAAATTTTCGAAAAAAATTGCGAATTGGTGCTTTTAGTGGATAAAGATCCCTCTCTTGGTCTTTTTTAACTATTTTCTACGTTAAACATTTTTTCTCTAATGAAAAACAACCAATCAGAGGCCTTGACTACGTCATTACTCCCAGATCTCGGAAACTAAATATCTTGAAGGCCTGTGAATATTACCGGCGGATTGAGCTTGTTGACATTACGTAGAGCATCCCAAAATGAACTAAAAATATTCTTAAAATCGAATAAGAGATCGAAAATACTTAATTTCTACTGTTTTCTCTATGATAGAAATACCCAGCGGAATGTGTCGCAGCCTCAACGGAAAAAATGTGTCGCAAGTGGCTCCCGATGTCGCAGATGATTGTGTCGCAGAATATGTCGCAATTTGCGACACATGTGACACATTATTTTTTAGTGTGCGGACAGCCAAATTACAGACACTCAAAAAGTGAATCTGCACAGACATTCACTAAATTACACAGATAGCCGAATCAATCTACAGACACCCATAGATAGACACAGACAGTCATCTGAGATCTGTATACACTAAGACTAATCATAAGTACCATATAGACAATCAGAAAAAGAAAAGAGAACATTTGCTAACGACTATCATTTCTAAAAAAAAGAGTCTGACGAGATAGGAATTATTAACGCAGATAATTCACTGAAGATGCTTTTTAGTTTAGTTTATTTCCGTCTGTAAACATCAGGTCATCAAGTTATATTTGAATAAGATCAATATCGTGTATTCTCAGACAGAAACTTTGTTAAATATAAATACAATAAATGTGAAGGACAAATGTGATTCTCCAACGACCTAGGTGTTTGTGGGTGGTGCTCTCTGTGGCTTGATTTGACTGTTTAGGTAATTTTTTGCGTGTCTGTGTAATCTTGTGACTGTCTGTAGAAGTAGGTGTCTGTGTAGCTGCTTTCGGTTGTCTGTGAATATCTATGTGATGTATGTGTAGCTATTTGCGGCTGTCTGCTGGCGTCTGTAAGTGTCTGTAGATGGCTGTGGGTGTCTTCATGTTTTACTATTATCCCGTTTTTGAGAGGAAAATGCTTAAAATTTTTTATTACTTCCAGCACGTTTAACACGTCAGTTAGCAAACAATCTTAAATAATATTATGATTTCTTCGTTTGTTCTCTCATTTACATTTATTCATCTTATTTTGTATTTTTTCCTACATGTAATAAGTGCACTCAAAAATCATGAAAGCTAGGTAGTGGATGTGAGAAACATACTTATTTTTAGTAGTATAAAACTTATATCGTTCTTGTTAATATCAATTAAATGGACAAAAAAAATCCTCAAACTGTTATCAATCCCAATATATAATGATCATGAATGTTTTCTGAATTAAACCTCACCGAGTACTAGTCTTAAGGCTTCATGAAAATCGGTACCATGCCTAAACAACGAAAAACCAACATCTCATTTGATTTCCATTTTGAAGGGCATACTTTGGGCTATTTATCCACGAAAAAAGCACCATATATTGCCAATTTTATTTTGATACAGCAATAGTGACTTTTCTACGATTCATTCAAAACACTATTTTTGAAAAGGATTTTGAACATTGTTCTTATTAGAAAACGCGCCGAGGTACTAGCTATCGATCGGCGAAAAGCGAATGCACCAATCTATTTTCAGGCAAAAGTTCAGTAAATAACCGAGATAACTATTATTACGCTCATTCAAAAGATAAGCGTACGAATAATTCGAGAACGATGATAGATAGAAGCTTACGATTTTGCAAAGAACTCCATCCCCACAGGCTAGATCTCTAGCCACATATGTGGAAAATCTCTTTGTTATTATATCCAGTTTTCTGCTGGAGTCATATTCTAAAGTTTCCAACTCATTTGGATTCATTTTAGATAATTTATGAATTTTTTAATAATCAATGAAACTAGTCTTAAAATGTATACCGCGCATAAATTGATTTTTATAAGTTTTCCCAATATTTATTGAAAAACAAACATAACCATAAGACGCAGGGTGTTCGATAAACTAGGTTTCTACCTATTTTTATAGTTCCCACACATAATCTATTCTCTTTCTTGAGCACTAAGGAAATTCGATACCATCTACAAATGACAAAACTTGAAGAGACTGAAAAAGTATTATCTTGAAGAGGAGACTTGGAGATAACTACTCATGTAAAAATAAGGTCTGGGAAGATCAGTTCCTGTCTCGCTGAAATGATTACTTTTCTAAAGTAGGAGAAATCTTGTGCATTGTCACTTTTGCAGTGAGTTCTTGAGTATGGCATTCTCTCTCTTAACATAATGTTAGAAGAGTACTTCTTTAACAATAGTACCCATGCCGCCAAAACCAAAAGTCTTTTTTGCGTGAATCAAGTGAATAACGCAAAAAAGAATACAAAAATATAAGTGGAGTAACGCGAAAAATGGTTACAAATCCGGAATTCTGTATATTTTTCTAGAATAAAATATTTACAAAATTCTGTATTAGTCGAAGTAATAAAGAATGTTGTTCTAGAAGAATATACAGAATTTTGAATTTGTAACCATTTTTCGCGTTACTCCACTTATGTTTCTGCATTTTATTTTGGGTGACAATGCAAAAAAACGTTTGAAATTTCTACATGGGATATTCTACAAAAAGTAGAGCTAGAAAAACTAAAAGATTTCAACTGTAAAGACTAAACTAAACTACAAACAACTTTTATCTGAACCGAATAACATTCTAATAATTGACCGTGAAGTGCGCATAAACACTCTGCATACAAACATACATCACAGACAATCAGTTTTACTTGATAATGAATCATGCAACATAAAAATCACTGTTTATTGAGAATTATAATTATCGTTTGTGCGCGTATGAGTCATATCATAAATAAAATATGGATACAATGCAAAAAAAGACACTGTTTTCAAAATATCTACCAAATCATAGATCAGATAAATTTTCGTCTGCAGAAAGGGAACATCTACACAATATAACAAACATAAAGTCCGGAAGAACTACATCAATCCGATGAACTGCTGATATAGAAATGCTGCGGACAACGTTATGCATTTCTTGACTATGGAGCGTTTTTAAAAGATCGATTTTACTGAAAGTATGACTGGGCTCGAACTATCGCTAAAACTGTAGTTGTGAGACCGGATAAATAATGAATCCGTACCTACTTGACTTTTGTACATGTGAAATGATTTTCCAGAGATCTCCTGAAACTCCTACTCTCGAAAAAGTTTTTAATTTTTCTTCTCTTCAGAAAAGATGTGATCAAGTCTTCTTTATCGAATGGTGAAAAAATCGCAGGTCTCTATCTGTCACCCATTCTCGAGTTATTTAAAAAACAGCCATAGATCATTTTATTTTGAAATGTATAGTAGATAAAATTTCATCAAGAAAAAAGCAGAAAAGAATTTCATCGATGTACATGAACAATGATTTAGCTATGTATAATCAGATATCAAGTAGAGATAGAGAGTTTCAAATCTCATAAAACAGAATTTGATCTATCTCTTGAAGAATTTGTGAAATGAACTTTTTTAGTATTAACTTCGTTCATTTTTCTTTTTTCTTTACTGCTTAACATAAAGAAAAAGTATTTTTACTCTTTCTTTCTTTCTCAGCACAACTTTTATTTGTTTTCCTTTTTCTACTGATTTATGGAAAAAAAAGAGTTTATCCTTATTAAAATGACTATTATTTATATGTCAAGAAGAACTGACCAGTTAATAAAGTACAAATCCAAGTATAATAGAAGTTTGACACATGAAACACGCATAAGAAACATTTTCGAAACAGGCTATAATAGATTTTCGTTGCGAGACAACCTATGGATAATATAGTCCATTGAAACATTTTGCTCATCACTAAAAATTTAAAAAAAACCGTACAAATCGATCACTGTAAATTCTCCCGAGATCTGATTTTTGTTTTGAAAAATTCTAAAATGACTTTTGGAAAGTATGTCATAAATCCATGATAAAAAGTCAAATTTTCACTTTAGTAAGGAAGAGTCTGCTACACAAGATATATATGAGACAAAAATTTTACTGATATCTATTGAAGGGTACGAAAAGAAAGAAAACTAAGCAAAACTATTGATAAAATAAAAACAATTTTAATATCTTTTTGATTCCTTGTCCTAGTACTATAAACTTTTCGAACACATATTTGTTTTATTTTGCATGTAAAAAAACATTATTATAGACGGTAGTTCATGTGATTTCTATTAGGTTAAAAATAGGAATAACTTGATGCCTCTCTTTATCTTTTGTATAACAATAAAGTTTACAATGGCTAAAACAACATTGAATACGTTCATAGGACTTCATGCTATTAATCGAGGAATTATACTGTAATTGTGTTCATATTATTCAGCTAATTTTTATCTTATAATTAAAAATGATTATACAATCTATTACAAATTTTAATAGCTAACTACTAATTATATACGCTTCAGAGGTATCTTCAATTAAAAAAAAAATAAATCGTTATTAATACAAATATCAAGCAACAAAATAACGGTGTCTATTCCATTTTGAAACCACAAATTGTAAAAAGTAACTATTTATATAGGTTTTCTCTTTGGATTAAATTTTTTTTAATTCTTTTATTTCTCTAGAACCACGTATAAAAGAAGTTATAAAGAGCGAGAGAAAGAGAAAAGAATTGTGACAACGCATTACCTTATTTTAAATTTTTTCAAGTGTACGTATATATTTACACGAATAATTGAAATCTTGAAAGAAGATTATAACATCTGTAGATGGTGGCATGACGATAAAAATAAAAAAGAAACGAAAAGAAAATGAGTTAGCTTCTTTTACTCTCTTTATATACAAAATACTAGTACAAAAAAATAAAATAAAATAAAAATTTTTGATGTATATATATGTTTGTATAATAATGTAGGAATAAAACATGTATAATTTCTTTTTTTATTACTTACTGATAAGTTCAATCAGTTGTATTTAGTGATTTTGTAACAAACGAATAATTATCTCAAAAAACAAAACAAAAAAAATTATCATGCGTACATTTTGGAATGAGACACAAAATGATAGACAATTAAATAATACAACGACATACAAACAAGTTAGATCAAGCAGAAGAAGGTAAATGATACAAATACTCTCAGAAAAAATCGTTGACTCTTTCCCTATTCACTTTTTAATTCATTCTAAAAAAAGAATACAATAATCTCCGTTCAATTGATCATTTTTATTATCTTTCTTAAACATTTTTTGAATTAGTGTAAAAAAAAACAAAAAAAAAAGTATAAAAATAGTGTAAAAAGAAAAGAGAAAATCAGGTTAATTTTTCTCTTTCAAATGTTATACACAAAGTCTCTCGAGTCTACTTTGATCATTAATGAATGATCTAATCAAGTTTTATTTTCTTCATTTATACGATCATATTTCCATTACCGAAAAGAATAATCAAATAAAAAAAATTGAACTTAATTTTTTTTGCCTTTTTTTTGTATAACATCATCACTAGTCAACTTTTTGTTATATCTCAACAAAAATTGATTGTTATTTTTTAGCTGCTGCTGTAGTTGTTTACTTAACCGTTTCATTTCATAATTTACACTTTCTCAAGTGATGTTTTGGTAAAAAGAAAATAGTAGTGCATAAAATTGATTTAAAAAAAAAAAATTAAAAAAATAAAGAATCAAATAGTAATAACTTTCATTAACACTCGAAAAAATTTAATATGGATAAAAAAATCTAAAGTAAGTTCATATCCACACACTTGATATATGTCACATACTTATTATCAAACAAAACTTATATTTGAAAAAATACTTAAATAGGAGAGAGATACAACTTTGGATATAGAATAGAGTCTTCTATTTAGACTATACGTTAAGAATTTTTTCTATACATTTGTCCTACAAAGAGTCACATAAGGAGTTTTGAAATCTCATGATTAAAAATGTCAAAATTTTCTTTTCTCAATAGTTTTCTAAAGTCTTGTATCTCGTGTCCATTGATGAATATCAAAAATTATTTTTTTAGATTCACTTTTGTTCCATTGTAGAAAAAAAATAGGAATCGATTTGTCGTTGTTTTTTTTAAATTTCAAAAAAAGAAAAAAAATGCATACATAATTAATTGGTTAGTATAAAATGTGAAATAAAAATCATAAAAAAGAAAAAGTTTAATGTATCTGTGTTGAATTTTTTTCTATAAATTATTAATTTATTTATAAGTGAAGAAAATAGAAAGAGAAAAAACTCATATATTCTCATACAAATAAGACACGTTCTTTCTCTCCACCTCTCTAGGATCACTTTTTAAAAAAAATTTGATCATTTTTAAAAACCTTTTCGAAGAAAAAGTGACTAGAGTCAATTTTTATCCATACATTTTATCATATCTATAGAGAAGTATGGCATATTTTTACATCCATATTTAATCAAGATAATAGACAGTTTTCTGTTTAATTCAAAATAATAATTTTTAAATTTGAAAATCGACTTTAAGATAAAATTCTTATCTCTATTTTTTACATTTTTGTTGTTTTTTTCTTCATTAATTTATCAGTTTAGTTTTTGTTATCTAACGAGGGAACCTCTCGAGATGATACCACGCTTTTTGATCGAAATCTAGTGGATTATAGGTTATTGACCATGCTGATTTCGAATAACAACATGAGATGGGTCGCTAAACCCCAAGAGAGTAGTTTTCTGGAAAACCAGTTTTTCAAGAACTCTAAAAAATAATCAAAACCTTTCTTAACGAGACATAGTTGTAGCGCGCACATTTCTGATTAAAATGAGACCTCTCCCAACTCTACATGATCTTTCTTTATAAAGTTATAGGATTTACAAGAAAAGCTCTAAATTAATTAATTCTTATTTCTGTAGCTTTGAGCTGACAATGAACATTTAGGGCTTTTCTTGTAAATTCTATAAGTTTGCAAAGAAAGATCATGTAGAGCTGGGAGATGTCTCATTTTAATCAGAAATGTGCGCGCTACAACTATGTCTCGTTAAGAAAGGTTTTGATTATTTTTTAGAGTGTCTGAAAAACTGATTTTCCAGAAAACCACTCTCTTGGGGTTTAGCGACCCATCTCATGTTGTTATTCGAAATCAGCATGGTCAATAACCTATAATCCACTAGATTTCGATCAAAAAGCGTGGTATCATCGCGAGAGGTTTCCTCGTAAGCTCTCTCTCTATCTCTTTCTCTCTTTCTCTCTCTGTAAAAATAAACTGCATGAAAAATTATAGATTTTCTATTTCCAACATGTGTAAACGATGAAAAACAAATTTCCAGTTTTCTTTGAACCGCATCAGACAAACCACGAACATTTCTCGATGTCGGTTTTTTATTTCTTTCTTCGCTATTTTTATTTTACTTTTTTTTTTAGAGATTTATGTTTACTTTCTCTCTTTTTAATTGACATTTTTTTTTCATTTCATTTGTTAATGTATTTACATATATATATGTAGATCAATACACCTTGACTGAACACAACAGGAGATCTAATAATTATTCAACATATACATCCGTTATAATTATAAGAGAACAGAATAATAAGAAAAATTGCTGATGAGAAAAAACATGACATGATAAAAGAGTGTAATTGAAGTGCGTGACAAATTATTGAATTATTATAATGGTATTTTTCATATAATGCAAATACCATACAAGGATATTTTCTTTTTTCTTTAAAAAAAACCTGCAAAACTGTACTACTTTACACAAGAAAAAAAATTGATTAATTGTCATTTTTACAAGTTCTTATGCGGTTTTTAATAACAAACGACATTTCAAATATGCACCATGAATGTAAGTAATGATTAATGAAACTTTATATTGGATAAGGACGATGATCTTTTAGTTTAAACTGTAATTTATTTTTATCAGTTAACAATTAGTCTCTAATAAAGAGATTATCAAGATGTAGAGAAAAACATTGATTTCTGTCTTTTTTTTAAAACATCACTTAAATATCTTTTATCTTTTACATTGAACTCTTTTAGACTAACAAGTATAAAACGAGTTCTTATACATTTTTTTTATTTTAGACTTCCGTTTTCTTCTTGGATCATGTCAAAACATGATAATAATAATCATGAAAAATCTTCAATAAATCATACACATCAAACCAAAAAATTAAAATCAACTTTAGTCAATTCAAAAAAACAAAATAATAGAAATTATGTTAACGGTGATACGCCAACAACGGTAAACGATGATGAAGATGATACTGATGATCAAACAACAAAAGTTCAAACATTAGATGAAACAAATGAAGCCGATCGTACACTAGATATTTCATACAACAACAACAACACTAACACCAATCACGGAATGTTAATGGCAGATAATTCAAATAATAAACATATGATTCATGAACTACTACAATCTAATATGAATTTGAAGTAAAATTAAATAAATTATTCTTATTAATAGCTAACAATAAAGTTTGTTTATGTTTATAGGCACGAAATAAGAGATATTCGACGTCAAATACGTAAAAGTGATAAACAGACAAAATTACATACACCAAAAGTAAATTAGTCAAACGATCATTTAAATATGTTGTGCTTTGTACAAATTTTAGTTTTATTTTTTATAACAGACAATCGATGATCACGATTGTTCCTTCTTACCGGCTAATAACGATGATTCAATAAGTATAAATTACGATACAAAATTAAATCAATACAAACGAGAAGCGAGTGTAAGTATTGAAGAAAAAGCACTACAAATAAAGTATTAGACTCTATAAAATTGTATTAAGCTTTTTTGTTTTGTAAAAATCGTTACAATTACACTCATATGCCACTTTTCTCGTCTGTGTATAATGCTATATTATTCTACTTTAAATTTACTCGCTCTTGACTCATCTCTAGAAAAAACAGACTCGTGACTTGTACAAGAGATATAATCTTAGACAAAATCCTATTCATTTCCTATCTATTTTCTACTAAAATCTTTTAGAATCTTAATAATTCTAATAAGTTCCTAGCACGATCTTAGATATTGTGTCCCCATCAAGAATCTGAAGCGGGATTCTGCTGTTCTTAACAAAGAACGACACTTAATATCAGACTGAAGTAATAAAAAGTAGATGAGTCAATTTTAAATGTGTTGTACGATTACAAAGAAAAATTTAGTAATCTTATGTTGAATTGAGACTGCTCATAAAATGTGAGCGCCTATTTTGAATGAAGCTAGTACAGATAATTATAGAAAATTTCCTTTCATGATTTATACTTTTCTACTAAAATTCTAAATAATTACGAAACTATCATCCAATCATCATATTTTCTTCCTATGGTTCTATTTTAACCCCTCCTTGCATGTTCTACAACTTTCGAGTCTATCCGATTCCATTATAATTCTATACGATTTTGTTAGAATCCTACCCAAAAGTAACCTAATTTCTAATAGAGTTTTCCTGAGATCCATCCTATCCGGAAATATGTAGCTTTCTTACTAAGAAAGCAGCGTATATAGAACACAAAAAAAGCATCATATTTTGGATACAGCAGAAATTCGAACTCTTACACATTTAGTTCTAAATAATTTAGACTAAAAGTAAACACATTTGTCTCACGGATGTAAGTTCGTGAGTTCTACTCATCATTTAGGCGTTGCTTTCGATCTGTTCTTCAACTTTCGGTCTTATCTCGTAATCACAATTTACGTTAAAATGAAGAAGAGAAGAAAGACTTTTTATCCTTAAACAGCCAATGTGTATCATTTGTTTTAGTCCTACAAGGTACAACTGGATAATTGTCAAGACACGATAGCCCAATTGAGAAAAACAATTGATATTATGGAAAAGCGATTAGAACAATTGTAAGCGACGTAGAATGTATCGGTGATTGATACATTTGAGACATTCATTATCTCCTCTAATTTCTAATCTTAAAGTGCTCTTTACTATTTTGGCTTATTTTAGTTAAGTTCTGTTTTAGAAGAACATTGGAACAAAATGGTAATTCTAAATATTTAACTATGAATAATGATTCTCAAACAACAACAGATCATCGAGTAATTCTTCTCTTTTATTTTTTGAAAGATGTACACTTTTAGTAAGTTTTGTTTGTTTCATCTCGTTTTTAGTTCATTCATGAACTATTTCATATGTGTATAAAGTATAATCGTCAATCATCATCATCAAAACACTATACAAATAATAATGAAAAACAGACGAAACCAAGCCATTATGATATGAGAAATTATATTTGGCAAACATTTTCCGATACTTTTAAAGATAAATCAAATCAAAAACGAATTCAACAGGTTAGTAAAAGAGAATTAATTCATCAACTTATTTCTACACATATTTAAAGGCGCTATGTTAGATGTTAACTATATTTTATTTACATAATACAATAAAATACTGATATATGAATATATTGAAGTTAAAAATAAATAGAAATAATAAATTACTAACGGTGACAGTAAAATAAAAACTTCCGATTTTTATAACAGTTTTTACAACAGTTTTTATAACACGAATACAATCATTTTCGAAAACTTGAAATGATGCAAATCAGGAAACAACTCAACTGAAATAACCGTTCTTAATTGAGAACGGTGCTTATGGCTGGAATGCCCTAGGGAGGAGGACGGACTTTAGGATATCTCCTCCTCCCCCCTCCCTCTTTTTTGCAGAAAAGTTTTTATTTTGAGCTGAACATAGTCTAATGTAGAGGAAAGTCTGTGCTATAAAATGAGACTACTCTCCTTTAAGTTCGCCCCTCTCAGTGGGTCATACCGACCATATAACCACAACACTTTGATTAACATCGAATGTTAATCAAAGTATTGTGACTGTTTATCGTAAATGAATGATGATTATAACTGATCGTTACCGTTATTCATCGCTTAATGTGAAGTGGTTATCTAATGTTTATTAGTGGAATGATCAGATTTTTTTTCTTGATTAAAGTAATTATCGTAGACATCTTAATTTTTATTAGTAATTATGAAATTTGATTTTGTAACTTTTTTATAATACGTAGTTTTTGTTCACGTTTTAAAACATTTTGGATGATTTGTCCAACACTATGAAACAAACGTTTATTGATGAAAAATGATAAAATATTTGCGATAGATGAGATATTTCGAAATAGTGAAAACTAATGATTCAACTAACTGAATTACGTCAGAAAACGTTGATAGTGAGGAACAAAAAAATGAAGTAAGAATTATTATAGAAAATATAGTTAATTGTTTTCTCTTGCTTATAGAGTGGACGAGATCGAGTAATCAATGATGAGAGCAATCTCAATCATTTCATTTGCAAATGTTCAGATAGGGTAAGCATGTGAGACAGATGGTTGTCACAATTGTTTGTGAATGTAAAATTCTCTTTCAAACGAATTATTATCATGGACAAATAAATTAATTCATTTTTTTTTCTTCTATTTCTCTAGATTTATAAAGATCATCATCCAAGTTATCAATTTTGTTTAAGAATAATTGAACAGTGTCAATCATTATTTGATTCAAACTGTTTTACTCAAATACCTACTACTCTCAATGAACTGTATTATAAACAAGGAGAGTTAAATAATTTTAAAAAATCAATTGCAAGTGCACTAGGTGTAGGTAAGAAGATGAATTAACACGAAGAAGAACATGCCTTCATATAGAATATTTTAGATTCATCAAAAACAAGTTGTCCAAAATTAATAAAAATTTTACAAACAAATTTGGATGATTGTAATTCGAATGAATTTTATACATTTAAAAAATTAACAAAAATATCTGATTTAAACGAGTAAGTAATACATCAGTATTATCATCGTAGAAGTATACATTATAATATGAACATCTTATTTTATAGAGCAGCAACAAAAATTCGTGCGTATGATGATTTTGTTCCATATTATCATAAATTTATTGAACAAATTTCAAATCAATTAGGTAACAATTTATCTTTAGTAAATTGTAGTTATACAATATTAATAATTTTTAGAAGTATCGAAAGGTGAAGAAATTATTCCTGCAATAAAAACGTTAAAATTATTGGCACATACACAAAAAGATGACGATTTACATTTATATTCAAATGGAAACGATAATCGTTTACTCTTGTTAACAAACCAAGAGGACGAAAATGATAGCGATAATAAAAAATCTGACAATTCAACAATAGAAAATATTAAGAAGAATTACAATGAATTAACGACGAGAAAATCTTCAGCGTCATCTACTCGAATACCAATTTATCGTACAACATCGATGAATATATCTCGCTCGTCTTTGACATTCGATAAAAACCGTACGAATAACGATCAAACATTAACTCTATCTTCTTCAAAAAGAGAGACGAAACGTCCATTAGGTTCTTCATCTTCATTACGTTTATTATCAGAAACAAAAAAACACATCGAAGATGAAACATTGAACAACAAAGAACAAGAAGAAAATTCTTAAAAAATGAATTTTTTCTGTTAGTCCATCTGAAAAAATCAGTGGTAGTAGCATAGTCTCTTCTTCTTCTTCTAAATGTTCAATATAAATATTGTCTGTCGCTCTCTTACAGAACAAGTAGTTTTTCTACTACACTTACTTACATTTTGGATATTCAAAAACTTCTTCATTTTCTTATTAGAGTAAAACCTCTATATGTGGGTACCTCACTGTAGTCGGTAGTGCTTGATTTGATAAAGCGTTTTTTGCTGGCAATATATCTGGGCACCTTTGAATTTTTATTTAATTTGACGTTTCGACAATGCAGTTGTCATTATCAAGAATATGTGTAGTAACAGAGATATTACAGTAAGAGTAGAGTTGGATGTATGAACTTTCACATGCACTTATATATACTACACTGTAATCTTGAATTAATTCCAGTTTATAGAAAATTAACCGAAAAATCGCCGGGGATTTTCTACTTTATAGAAATTCCTCGATGAATTTCCAGCTTTCTAGAAAATGTTGATTTTCTACTTTATAGAAAATCGACTTGAATTTCCATAAATTCGATTTTCTATAAAGGTAGAGAATCGCTGAGGATTTTTTATAAATAATTGCCAAGAATCTGGAAATTCGATTTTGATTTTCTATAAACTAGAAATCCGCGACGATTTTCTAGAAAGTGGAAATTCGCTCAGGAATTTCTACACCAGATATTTATTAATCTTTTTGTTTTGCAATCAGTATAGGTGTAGTAAAGACATTCATATTACACGTAAATCAGCTTTGACAGTTTCTACTTTAGATCACAATTCCGCCTATGCCAGCAAGAATTTTGATTTTGGCAGAGTCAGTGGCGACTCGAAGTTTCGGTAGGAAGATTCACCAGAAATTCTTCAAAAGTATGAGCGGGGTCAACCCCAATATAACCTGGTCGCGCCGCCACTCGGTGCAGACCCCTCGAGGAATTTCCAGTTTATAGAAAATCAAAAAGGAATTTCTACTTTCTTGGGAATTATTTATGGAAATTCAACGAGGAATTTCCAGATTGTTGGAAATTCGATTTTCTGTGAACTGGAAAATCCTCGAAGAATTCCTATACGTAGTCTTTGAAATTCACCGAGCATTTTCCATAAATAATTTTCAACCTTACAGTGTAGACAATATTATGAAATAACTAGACAGAGAAAAGTACAACAAAAACAAAATAGGAAGAGGGGATTATACAGCTAGACGAATTTGTTACATTGACGGAATTAGTCTTCTGATCCATAAGTCTACTGAAAAAAAGAGAATTTGACGAATAAAGCCAGAAGAATTTTTCTACAAAACAAAATTGTTCATTCTGTGGAGGGTAGAAGATGGAGTAATGCTAAAAACAATAATACGCACCATGTAAAAATGATGATTCGTAACAATTTCACTATTGACTGTACAGTAAAAACATTCAGCAACAAATACATAAATTTCGTTTCTTGTTCAGTGCTATTAACTTTCCGAGTTCATGTTTCAGTGGAAAATGAGACATTTTGTAGAGAATTGAATTCTCTATCGACTGTCATTATTTTGAAATTTTTTCAAGAAATTATGTAGCTTTAAATATTTACTATTAACTATTTTTATAGTTTCATATTTTATAACTTCTTCTTATTTCTGTAGCTTTGAGCTAACAGTAAACATTTAGGGTTTTTCTTATAAATTATATAAGTTTGCAAAGAAAGATTCTGTAGAGCTGAGAGATGTCTCATTTTAATCAGAAATTTACGGGCTACAATCATCCCTCATTAAGAAAGGTTTTGATTATTTTTTAGAATTTCAGAAAAAATTGGTTTTTCAGAAAACCGGGGCTTCAAGAGTCATGGGTCCGAATCCTTTTAGGGTATTTACTACCTCACTATGGTCTATCGTTCCATGTATAAATCATTGCAATCAGAGGGGAGCACTTCCATAGGTTCCCTCGTAAGTGTTTTCTGAAGAAGTATGTTCGGTATATTGAGTTTCCGAATGTTTCCGAAGCTCCAATCTGATTGAAACTTTCACAGAATGTTCTTCTTCGCACAATACATCTGTCCGAATAGCATAAAGTAGCATAAATAATCCTCGACTGACTTATAGGTTTTCCAAATGTGATATGTCAGTTGTATGTTTTTATGCGCAAGAAATCGTTCGATTTAACGAAATGACAGATTTGCAGCATTCCCGCAGCAATTTTCACTAGACACGTGGACATGTGCCATAAAAGTGATACGAAAATCTCTAAACACTATTTGTATAGGTTTTCGTATGCGCTCTTTCCAATAGTGTGATTTGCAAGGTTCAAAAACACTTCTAGTTGGGTTTTCTAGATATTTTCAGATATCGGATCTTTGAAAATCCCTGATAAAAACATCTTTACACCTGTGAATTACACCATTGGAAGGGCGCATACGTCAACCTATTCAAATAGTGTTTAGAGGCTTTCGTATCACTTTTATGGCACATGTCCACGTGCCTAGTCAAAATTGTCCACTATGTGATAGAGAGAGATAGATGGTCAAGGGGGAAACGACCTCCCAAAAGGGTGCGCAGACTTATAAATGGCAGTCACTTTAAGCGTCACTGAATGTCGCCGAGACATTCGCAAAATTCACATTCGCCAATACTGATACCCCTTTCGCCAATACCCCTAAACTATTGGCGAATGTTCATGCGACATTTGCGAATTGAATCCATAGTGATTGCTTAGAAGAAGCAAGAAAAAGTCACAGATTTCGCCTTTTGCTCAAAAGTTACGTGGTATTGAATGTTTATGCTGCTTTATAAAAAGAAGTCCAGAGGTGTATGAGATCTTTTTTCTCATACACATTTTAATATCCATGCATGTGTTAGGGCTATATGGGCCGCCAGCTAATGTCTAACTAATATTCTTCCTTGATAATTGCCCTTGTTCAACTTTAAACATTCGATTTTGTTTCAACTATTTTTATTCTTCTCAAGTGAAATTATCACAATTATGTATAAAAAGAAAACAGAGGAACGAACAAGATAGAGACGCTACTCGTTGATGTTACTTCAAGTGAGTAGCATACATAACTGAACGAACGATTAGTAATAGAGAAAGAGAAAGGCTTTGATATCACCTGTCCATACTAGTAAAATAACAACAGTGAAAAGAAAGAAAAATAACTGTTGTCTTGTCACTAAACCGGCCGCTCTGTACTGAAAGAAATAGGTCTAGAAATAGTTTTCGGTTTTTTACTGACATTTGTAGATGCTTTCTAACTTTGTTCATTAAAATGATGAAAACAAACAGACTCGTATCACGCGGAACAGCCGCAGTCCATACATTTTATGTTTTGGAACATATATGGCTGAACTCTTGACTTTCCAGGAAGAAGTGACACTCCAGAACTTAAACACTTAAAGTAACACTTAACCCGGGGGTGCACACACTTAAAAGCACTTAAAGTGAGGTTTTTCCCCCTTGTACATGGTACAGTATCCAGAGAATGGAACCAGTATAGATCAGCACGTGTTTTCAGAGAGTGGCTACATACGCAGAACAGAAAAGGTGTATATATTTTGTTGAGAGTGATGATGGTAGAGCGCACTCTCTTTCAGAATGCGCTCTTCAAAATTTTTGAAAGTGCTCGGTTGATCCCAAAACAACATTTTGATCAAAAAGTAAAACCTTTTCCATGTGCAAAATTATAGATTCGATAGAACTTTTTCGGTTTTAAGCTTGTCTAGACGACGTGCAAAATTTAAATTTGGCTCCTATGTGCATTCGACACATTTTTACGAAAACTAAATTCGACTGCAGTGTCTCGCTATCCAGGTATTGCAGTTCAACCGAGAAGACACTAGAATTTTATTAAAACCGAAACTGCAAGATTATCAAGTGGCAAAATTTCTAATGATGCCATCTGAACGAGCACGAAAAGCTAGTAGTCAGTGTTTAGTATTGAGACCATGTCCCTTCCGCCAAGAATCTCCAAGCCGGTAAGTTTTTCTCCCTTAAAGCATGCATGAGTCGGTACTAGTTGTGTACATAAATTTTGTTGAAGAGAGAAAATCTGAGTTAGGCAGTTTTTATCTACTTCTCAAACTACACAATTTTTTATTTTTTGTAAACTTTTTCCTGCTCTAAGATCTCTATTTTAAAACATGTTGCGGATTTTATATTTGTGTCTATGATATGTATGTCCCACCGTTTTTCTTTGTACTATCTGAAAATACGTTGGTTAATTTTTCTGTTGAAGATTATCGATTATAAAGTCGTACAAAACTTTTTATTACAACAGCCCAGTATTGCCTAATTTTATCGCCTAATTATTGTTTGTTAAGTATCCCCCTCTTTTTTCTGTACTGCCTTTAGCACCTTTTTAAGGGTATATTCTGTTTAAGAGACAGTGAATGTAAATATGGTTTAGCTTAACTGTAAAGTGTCTCTTTTTTTTGTAACAACCTACGGGCTTAACAATAAATAAACGAAAAGTCAAAAAAAAAAGCACGAACAGCTGTATATTTTAGATATGTAGTCACTCTCTATCACGTGTGTCTCTACTCTATAATATCTACTCTGCCCTATGACTCATCACAGAGTATACAGGCGTTGATTAGTACGTCGATGGGTGACCGCGTCTGTAGCCCATGATTATAAGCTGTATGATTTGAGCAGTACACTACAGCAGTGCACATGATGAGGAACCGAACATCGCAAGTTTACTTTTGGATAATTTAGTCCAAAAGTCAAATTGATGCTTTAACCCTCCAGGACCGACTTATTTCGAGCGATAATTACAAATTTCTCAACTTTTCAAAAATGATTGAGATCTTAATCCACTTGAATTTATTTCTGTATCAATCTTCCTCTTTGTAGCAATCTAAGGGCCATATATAAGGCGATAACAAAACGTTTACTTCGAAGAGAGGAAGGAATGAGAGCTATATACGCTTATCGGTTTTGTTTCCATCATATCAATATCAACAAGTTGCCATACTGTCTTTACGGGACCGATGGACAAGGTATTCCTGAC